CTAAGATTGAATGATTATGTGATGCCTAAAGCTGGTCCGCCCCCTCCTTTATATAGCTTAAAGGGGAGGGGGTGGTCTCCTACTTCCTCTTGAAGTTGATCTTTACAAGAATAGAAAGTCCTATCCTAATTCTAATCTTATCTTTTTATCTAATGAACTCAATCATCTTATCTCTCTAAGATTACATCAAGAATTTAGATTTTGAAGGACTCTTCTCAGTTTCTTGTTCTTGGATTCGTATTAGACCTCCTCTGCGAATTGGGCTTCAGCCAGGCTTTTTTGCAAGTTGGGCTTTAACTGCGGATTGGGCCTTCCTATGAATTTTTCGCGACTTCTAGCCCGGATTTGACTTCAATGCTGGCCGAATCTGTGAAAGCCCAAAACATGAAAGTTGTGGATTTTTCTTTTATCTTTCCAGTGGATCTTGAATCAGCCCATTCAGAGTTCGGATACGCGAGTTAGGCCCATATTACTGAACGATGTCGAAACTGTGAAAAATCATCCGATTTGTCTTTCTTTACTCCTGATGCCTTCTTCCATGCCCTGAACAGAAATATGAGTCCAATTAGATGCTAATTTGGTATAAAAGACATAATAATTGGGGATAAAAATATGATAAATTCTACTCTCATCACTCCTCTTGATTAGATTTTCTTTTCTGGCTGAATAAAATTTTGAGGGAGGGGCTTCACCACATTTTGATTTGACCACGACAGATTGGGGTGGTTACTCCATCCGGGGTTAAATGCCTGAGGGTAATGATTACCTTGCTGCCTTTGAAGATTCCCTACAAAATCTACTTGCTCGAGAGACTGCATGAACTGATTTCCAACTTGACATTCGGTGCTGTTATAACCTCCCCCGCACCAGTCACAGGCTACGGTTTGAACATGCATGGCTGCCAACTGCATTTCATCTATCTTCTTGCGGAGGGCACCGATTTGTGCAAATAGTGCAGTATAGGTGTCTACATTGTGAAGGTCAAGTTGTCTCCTAACTTGGGCTCTCGAAATGCCATTGATAATTATTTGTAGCCATTTCCTCAATGAGTGCATGGGCAACTTCAGGGGTCTTGTTGTTAATGGATCCTCTAGTTGCAGTGTCCATAATAGTCTTGTTTGCTTCAATCAAACTATTGTAGAACGTCTAAACTTGGAGCCATACGGGAAGTCCATGATGAGGGACCTTCCTCAGTAATTCCTTGTAACGCTCCCATGACTCATACAATGATTCCCCGTCCTGCTGAGAGAAAGTGGTGATATCATTCCGCATCTTTGCAGTCTTGGACGGAGGAAAATACTTGGATAGGAAGCGGCTGGCCATTTCATCCCAAGTAGAGATCGATCCAGCTGGTAGAGAGTTCAGCCAAGTCTTAGCCTTGTCTTTCAACGAGAACAGAAATAATTTGAGCCTCACAGCATCATCACTAACTCCGTTGTGCTTGGATGTGTCGCATATCTCCAAGAAGTTGGTGATGTGAGTGTTCGGATCTTCATTAGTCTAAGTCGCAAAACTGAACTGTGTTATGGATCATCTAAATGATTGCTGGTCTGATCTCAAAGTTGTTAGCAGCTATTGCTGGTCTCACAATGCTTGAGGCTGCCCCGGGGAAGGTTGGTTTGGCAAAGTCCATCATAGTCCTTTGTTCGGCCATCTTTGTACTTTCAGCTTTCTCTTGCTTAAAAGATCTAATGTGATGGCGGAGAGTTCGTTCAATCTCTGGATCGTAGGTGATGCTCTCCTTTTCACTTCTGTGTGTCATAAACTAAACAAGTCAAAGTCATAAATATACTAATACACACATATCATGAACATATTGTATAAAATCAGATTAACATCAGTAGATGGTTCCTAAAATTGTTGTGATAATCCCCGACAACGGCGCCAAAAACTTGATGCATTTAGAAAACACTAGCAAGTGCACTAGCCGATCAAGTAATATAATGATGAGTAGAGTATCATTCCCATAGGGATTAATCCAACAACTACTAGTACTGAATTGGCCTTTTGTTATCTAACAATCCGAAAAGTTAAACAAAGTAAAATTTAACTCCTAATTAGCAAATTATCCTATGTATTCTCAGATCAACCCACCTTTAATGATGAGAAGAAGTGCTTCTCAAAAATACTAGCAGAACCGATTCAGCAATTATACCATTAAGCTATCCAACCAAATTTGAATTCAGTCATGGGTTGGCTGAATCCTAATTGTATAAGTAGCCTCTCTCGAGCATAACCCACTCTATCTATGAGCAACAATTCCTATATTTCTATCAAGAATTTAATCGCTATACATGCATTAAGAACAAGGAATTCGACAGAAATTAATTTTTGTTAAATTATTGCCAAATGAATCATGCATATTATCTTTAAAATGCATTCAATCTTTTTTCTTGATCAGTTGATCTGATTACCTAAACCCTTTCTCAAGCAATTCAAATAATCCAAGAAACAAGAATAATTCAGCCAAGATTACTCTCATAATTGAAAACCGTAATCAAGAAATCCCAAGGATGAATCACAATCGATCGAACAGCTTAAAAGATTAATTACATATCTGAATTAACATCCATAATGGTTCGCATAATAGGAAGAAAGAAAGATTCAACAAAGAATAACCATTAAACCCTAATTGAATCTAGGTTACCGAATTCGCAGAATCAAAGAAGAAGACAACTTAGGATTTCTGCATCAATCTTCGATCTCCTCTTTAATTCGCATTCAGCAGCCTTGTCCTCCTCCTAGCTCTTCTCCTCTCAGTTCTTGTGTCAAGGGGTCGAACCCTAATTTCCTCTCTTTCTTTTTCTTTTATACTCTTCCTCTTTTTCTTTCTCCTAAAGTCAGCCGCCTTTTTGGAGTCTCCCATAGGGTTTCGATTGGGCAGCAGTTGGACCTCTCTCCTTGGTGGGCTGAAGTGTTCGCCCATAGGGTTTCGGCTGGGCCTTTCTTCTTGATGGGCTGAAGTGCTTCCCTTTTTGCCATATCAACATGTCTTCACGCTCTCTTCACCCTAAACTATCCCAAACTCTTAGTTTCTTGAAATCTTGCTCAATTAGGGTGAAAATCATTAAGAATCATCATCAAAACCATGTATAGAGTACCGACTCCATCTCCTCGTCGGGGACACACCTCCAAATGATCTGATATGCACAAAGCTTATACAAAAAGGGGTCCTCCCACAAATAGTATTTCACATTAGAGAAGAATTTTTTCCTCTGTTGATATGAAAGGTTAGGAGGGAAGACGTTTCCAACAAGATAGTTGGCAAAATCAGCATACCAAGGAGATGTATCTACCTGAATGGAATAGAGTTGCTCGTCCGGAAACTCATCTCGGAGAGTGCTGGTTGTCTTCCCTTCCAAATTTGAATCCTCTAACCGGGAGAGATGATCTGCGACAAGGTTCTCGGTACCCTTTTTGTCATGGATTTCAACATCAAACTCTTGCAGCAACAAAATCCACCTGATCAGCCTTGGCTTTGCATCCTTCTTTGCAAGTAGATGTCTAAGTGCCGAGTGATCTGTATACACAATAACCTTGGACAAAATTAGATATGAACAAATTTTATCAAAAGCAAAAATTACCGCTAGTAGTTCCTTTTCCGTCGTGGTGTAATTCTGTTGAGCTCCATTCAAGGTCCTGCTAGCATAGTAAATTAGTTGAAAATGTTTGTTCATTCTTTGTCCTAGAAAAGCTCCAATTGCTGAATCACCCGCATCTTACATCAACTCAAAAGGGAGTGTCCAATCTGGTGCTATTAATCGGAGCATTAATCAGCTTGTCCTTCAAGATGTTGAGCGCTTCTATGCATTCCTTTGTGAAATCGAAAGGCACATCCTTTTACAGCAGATTGGACAATGGCTTGGCTATCTTGGAGAAATCCTTGATGAACCTTCTGTAGAATCCTGCGTGTCCCAAAAAGCTTCTCACAGACCGGACGGATGTTGGTGGTGGCAATTTCTCAATTGTCTCCACCTTGGCTCTGTCGACCTCAATCCCTCTCTGTGAAACCTTATGTCCAAGCACAATACGTTCTTGCACCATGAAGTGACATTTCTCCCAGTTCAGCACTAGATGGGTTTCTTTGGAACGCTTGAATACATTTTCCAAGTTATGTAAACATGCATCGAAGGAAGAGCCAAAGACTAAAAAGTGGTCCATGAAAATCTCCATAATCTTCTCATCCATATCAGAAATTATAGCCATCATGCACCTCTGAAATGTTGCTGGAGCATTGCATAAATGGAATGGCATCCTCCTGTAAGCAAAGGTACCGTAGGGATGGGTTGTGTTTCTTCACACTAAGAGCTTGGGGTTTGCACCAAGCTCCCACGTCAAGCACACAAGCACAGAGTTATTGCTTGACATTCAACCAATATAGCTGGTGGGTCTTGTTAGGTCGCCAGTGCTACACTCTACCCTTCAATGATGAGCTATGTGTGGCGAGGTGGTTCTTGGCACCCGAGATGGACCACACAACCTCAAGGTGACATCTTCCCTCCCAGGTGGGATCTCATAATCATCGATGTGAAAGCCTCGATGGCTGCCATGTCATCAAATCCTATGGGGGTTACATCTACCCCCATCAGATATATATTCCCATATTTTGTTAAATGGGAAAATTTTTTATCTTGTTAATTTAATTTTTTAATTTACATTTTTTATAATATCATTCTAAATTTTTAAATTTATTTTTAATTCTTTAAATTTAAAATTTTCAAATTGATCGATCAAACCAAAAACCAATCCAAACTGATACAACCTATATTCACCAATTTTAACTAACGATCAATCGGTCTTGAGCGACCAATTTTCTAAGTTGACCAAATTGATTAAGTTGACAAACAACATGCAAACGAACTAAAGCCGATCTATGAACATCCCATGACTCGTTTTCTGTTTATGGGTTGTAAACCATAAACGTTACGGTTGAAATAGAAATCCAATTCATATGAATAAGGGTTGCGGTTCAATTTCAACCTAATTTAGGTAGTACGTGCAAGACTGCAAAGTATATTCGTCAAACAAATGGAACAGATTATCCGTTAAGAAAAACATCAGTATATGCTCTTGTGCAGTTCATCTACTTCCTGCCGAGTTGAGAATTAAGCAAATCATGGACCGTACATCAAGAATCTGATGGATCAGGAAAGCACGTAGCCAATCTGCCATGGCGGCATCGTTTAATACTGCTAGTTGGAGGGCTGAAGGCAGCTACGCGTGGAACACGAATACAGATCAGCAAAAAATACTATGCTCTTGTGCAGTTCATCTACTTCCTGCCGAGTTGAGAATTAAGCAAATCATGGACCGTACATCAAGAATCTGATGGATCAGGAAAGCACGTAGCCAATCTGCCATGGCGGCATCGTTTAATACTGCTAGTTGGAGGGCTGAAGGCAGCTACGCGTGGAACACGAATACAGATCAGCAAAAAATACTTTTGCCACGTGGTAAGAATTTAGTGGTACATCGTTGGTTGAAATTCACTGTCATCCTATAAATCCTCCCTAGATCACAACTCCTAAAAACCTCCAGAAAAGAAATGGAGACGGCCAGAGAGTCGTTACGATCACCGATTCCTAAATTGCTGAATGTTGTGAGCTGTTGTCCAACCAAAATCCGTTAAAATTTTCATCACCATCACTTTTTCGCCGTTAGCTCTCCGTTTGATTGCAGTTTAAAGGCTGGAAGCCCAACGACCTCATACGAAAAAACAACAGAAGCGAAGCGAAGCGAACAGAAGACATCAAATGTAAATGTTGATGGCGGATTTACAGAGGTGCAGAACGAATAGGGTTTGAAAATCGGCGATGGAGGATAAGAAGAAGAAGGACGGGAAAATTTTCCTGCTCGGCCGATACGAGGTGGGAAAGCTTCTCGGCCATGGAACCTTCGCCAAAGTATATCATGCTAGGAACGTGAAAACAGGGCAAAGCGTGGCGATCAAAGTTCTCGACAAGGAGAAGATCCTAAAGGGAGGATTGATGGGTCACATCAAGCGGGAGATTTCGATCTTACGGCGCGTCAGGCACCCCTACATCGTTCAGCTTTATGAAGTCATGGCGACCAAGACGAAGATCTATTTCGTCATGGAGTTCGTTAAGGGAGGTGAGCTATTCAAAAAGGTCGCGAAGGGGAGATTGAAAGAGGAAGTTGCCCGGAAGTATTTCCAGCAATTGATCTCCGCTGTCGGGTTCTGTCACGCCAGAGGGGTTTTTCACCGGGATCTCAAGCCAGAAAACCTGTTATTGGACGAGAACGGCGACCTCAAGGTATCTGATTTCGGCCTGAGCGCCGTCTCCGATCAGATGAGCCACGATGGATTGTTTCACACCTTCTGTGGAACGCCTGCATACGTTGCTCCTGAAGTTCTAGCTCGAAAGGGATACGATGGGTCCAAGGTCGATATCTGGTCTTGTGGAGTAATTTTATTTGTGTTGATGGCTGGGTGTCTTCCCTTCCACGATCAGAACATCATGGCTATGTACAAGAAGATTTACAGAGGCGAGTTTCGGTGCCCTCGCTGGTTCAACCATGAGCTTACTCATCTCCTCACCCGTCTCCTTGACAGAAACCCCGTAACCAGAATCACTATTCCGGAGATTATGGAGAATCACTGGTTCAAGAAAGAATTTAAACACATTAAATTTTACATCGAGAATGATCGCTTCTTCAGCGTCGATGACGATGATATTGAATCCTTGTCTGACAAATCGTTATCGGAAACAGAGTCCGAGCCGGAGATCCAGAGACGATCTGTCCCGGGATTACCGAGACCGGCGAGCTTGAATGCATTTGACATCATTTCCTCTTCATCGGGGTTCAACCTCTCCGGTTTGTTCGAAGAAAGGGGAGCGGAAGCAAGGTTCATATCCGGCGCCCCGGCATCGAATATAATATCTAAATTGGAGGAGATTGCTAAGTTGGTTAGCTTCACAGTGAGAAAGAAGGATTGTCAGGTTAGTTTAGAAGGGTCGAGAGAAGGTTCCAAGGGGCCATTGACGATAGCAGCGGAGGTTTTCGAATTGACACCGTCGTTGAGGGTTCTCGAAGTGAAGAAGCAGGCAGGAGACAGAGGAGACTACGAGGAGTTCTGTAACAGAGAGTTGAGACCTGGGTTGCAGAACCTTGTGCCGGATGATTCTCCTGTTTCACGGTATATTCCTCCAGATGCATAAAACGAATAGAGAAACCGAAACAAAGAGAAAGAACAGTATTTTGTTTTCGTTTAAATTTATTTTCACCCATTTTGTTGTTGTTTCTTCATTTTTCCTTTGTTGAGCTTGAGCCTTGAGCCTTCTCTTCTCTCTTCTGTAATCATACGATTCTAATATAACTTTCTTCCTCAATAAATTTTTGTTTTTGTCATGTTCTATACTTGCTTGGGGGAGCCCTTTGATTTTGTTTACTTGTTATCTGGTGCGTTTTCTTCCACGTGGCAATTTATGGATGACGTGTGATGGGTCCAGGCTTGCGTGGACTGATTGCATTGGTTATTGACCATGATGGGGTGGCCAACCGGGAGAATGACTATTCAGCCCAGACTATTCAGCCCAGCGTCTGAATTTGTAAGCCAAAGTAGATGCCAGCATTAGAATTTTGATGACAGCATTTGAATTTTTTTTTTATTAGATTAACAAAAGTTGATTCATGATTTATTGATTCCTGATTCTCTGGACAAGAGACCTCATTGGGGGACCTTGCATGGGTGGAGCTTTTTGGTTGAGTGGGGCCTATTTATCCATGATTAAAGATGAAATTTGAGAGATTCAGATTAATGATACTTGGGCCAGAAAAGAGACCCCCATGACCCATACCGAAAAAGAAGGGTTTGTCTTATATTTGAAAATTGAATGATTGAAACATAAACTCAATCAAAGTAGTGGAGTTAGGTAAAGGTAGATGTTGAAATATAATATTATATACTTGAATTTAAAAGATTGTAGAGGGGAAATTGGGGAGTAAAGATTAAAGAATAAAGATTCTTTCGTGGAAGTAAGCTTTTGTAATTTTATGGAGATTAAACAAAGAATTCCCTTAAATTGAGTTGGTTAGCTGGGCTATGGGTTCTTGTTATAAGAAAGCCAAAAAGAGATATGAGAGCTGAGAGATGATCAACTCTGCAAAATTGGTAGGCTTTGAAGTTATGATCAGTCACAATTTATGGTTAAGTGAAGGAACATGAGCTTATCCTTTTTGTCAAGCATGTGTATATAAAACATCTGTCCTAATCTTATTAATGATAGAACGTTCTTGTTGCGTATTAGTACTGATGGTAGAGAGCTATTTCATGAATGGAAAATTTTCGATAGGCACCTTATACTTTAGAGTGCCAATTTAGTATCCGAACTTTAAAACATGACAATCTAGTATTCAAATTTTCATTTTGCGACAATTTAGTACTTGGCGTTAACTCATCGTAAGTTAGAAGAATCACGTGATATCAGGTGCAAGTAGTCTTCCTCTTCCTCTAGTACCTGAACTCAATGGCGGCGACGATGAAATTCCTCTCCTCTTCCTCTTCCTCTTCCTCGAACCTAACTTTTCGTTGTCTTCCTCTTCCTCACGCCCACCCCCTCCTATGAGTCACCAGCCATCACCAAATAGGCTGTTCAACTGTTGTATCAATGGCAAGTCTTTAACCTGAGACTGCGAGGATCGTATCATCCACTCGTCTCATTAATACAACTATTGTTGTATCACTGGCCATCGCCATTGATACAGTTGTTGTTCAAATGAGATCGAGGAGGTTAAAGATTGAGACTAAGCAGTTGTATCAATGGTTGTATCACCGGCCATTGCTCAGTCTCTTTAACTTGAGATTGAGACTACGAGTTTGTTCAACTACTATATCAGTGGCGAGTCTTTAACCCCTCGGTCTCCTCCCTGCTTAAGCCTTTTGGGTTGCTAATAATAGAAGGACCCTCGGGCGAATGGAAGCAATGTTGTGCTTTTGATGATTTGCCGATTCCGCTGCCACCTCTGACAGATGGTGGCCACCTCCAGCTCCACCTCCTAGACCACCACCGCCATATCTGTTGTGGTAGGTGCACATCTCCGTGAAGAAGAGATGCTTAGAATTGAGAAGCTTCTGGACCTCCTCCTTTGTCTTAGGCGAGAGCTGGTCCATTGTGCCTAGCAAGCTCTGGTTCTCCACAACCTTGTAAGCCGTACCTCTTCCTAGAATATTTGTAACTCTCCTAAAACCAGCTGCTCCACCCTCTGTATGTTTTCTAGCTTCTCTCTCTCTCTCTAGATTCATTGTTTCTGCATTTTATCCGGCTTTGGGATTGGTTTGAATCAAAAGTAAGCTCTTATAAAAGCTCAAACACCATTCAATCCTAAGGAGTTAACCCAAATGAAAGATGGTCTGCAATACTGGGCAGTGCAGCTAAAGAACAAACAACCCCCCAGGAGCTGCTCTTCATGCACTTGAGCTGTCCTGGCTGATATCTCAATACCCCAAATTCTCAATCCTCCATTGTCGGGTCTTTTAGGTAGATTTGGTTATTGGGTTCTGTTTTATTTTTTCAGATTATCCTTTGAAACGAAGAAAAAGAAACAAAAAGGAGAGCTTTTTGTCGTTAGTTGTTTGAGCTCCTTTGTTTTATCTTTGTAGGAGTGGTTTGATCATTGATGGAGGTTAATGGTATGGCAGGAGGAATGATCTCCAGTCTGTCTCCTGGGATGCTTGGACTGGAGATGCCTCTACACCAAGCGCAGCAACAGCACCATCCTCACCAACACCCCCAAATGGTGGCATTTGCAGGTCAAGACGCTGATCAGTACTCACAATCTCAGTTTGTGAAGCAGCACGGATACCCTCCTTATGCCACCAAAGCGAAGCCGCAGCAACCGACATTAAGCGAGGAGGAGCAAGGATTCGTGCGGGAAGACAGTGGAGCAGATAGGAGAAAGAGGATATCTCCGTTGCAGAGAATGAAGTGGACGAACAACATGGTGAGGCTTCTCATCATGGTGGTCTTCTACATCGGTGACGACGGTGGCTCCGAAGACAATGACCCCTCCAGCATCGACAAGAAGAAGACCAGCAGGCCCCTAAAGGCAAGTGGTTTTAGGCTAGTATGAGAAATCCATAGGATTCCGCAAAACCTCTCCGACATTTTTGAGTTTTGACCTCCGAAGTTTCGAATAGAATCATTAAAATCATTAACGTCATCCCAACTGAAATCTCAAATATGGGCTCACATTAGATCAGACCATCAGGAAAGAATCTTACCCAATTCAACTCTCAAGGGTGGGACCTACTGCTTAGATTTGGATGGTCTGGATTTGGACCCAATCTCAGTAACTACAAGTGTGAATAGTAGTTCCCACTTGCATTGGTCGAAATAGCTAATGGGGTCATTTTTGTAATTTCAATAGGGAATTCATGCATTACTCAAAATAGATGAGGGGTATTTAGGTCTTTTTGTCTTCTAAGTGATGGTGAGTTAACGTCGGGTACTAAATTGTCGCAAAAGGAAAGTTTAGGTACTAGATTGTTGCGCTTTAAAGTTCAGGTACTAAATTGGCGCTCAGCCTAAAGTAGTACCTATCGGGAATTGTCCCTTTCATAAAATGTCAAGAATCAAGATAACCAAGTTCATACCACAAATATTCTTCAGCTAAATATAGTTATCTTGGTAAGTTGTCAAACAAGTGCATTTATCTAGGTAAATGACTTATTGATATTGCAAATAAGGCCTTAATGATCACCTATGCCTGAGCATTTACTAGTATGAATATAAATCCTATTCGCCTAGCGCCTACCCTGTTTAACACGAGTTTGGATGGGCTTTCCACATAGGTCGCCCCACATACACATCCAACTGTGCATTGAGAAGTAGGGAGTCCATTCTAATTGTTCAACATTGGAAAAGGCAAACTTCATTACAACTTCTTAGGAAAAACAATCAATATCTAATGGTGTGATAAGAAAGGGAGGTAAACATCAGTAGGGGTGGCAAATGGTTGGGTTGGGTTGGGTGGGGTGTGGTGTGGGTTGCGTACCAACCCACCCATATTGACCCTAACCCATTTGCTACCCATATCCGTTGACATTAGAGGGTCATAACCCACCCATATGACCCACCCTAATCCAAATTGGACAATTTTTTACTTTTCTCTATTTCAAATTCACACACATGCACACACACACACACACACACACATATATATATATATATATATATAAGAAAACATAAAAATGATAAAAAAATTCAAATTATATTTTTCAAATAAAAATAAATAAATGCATAAAGAGACTAAAAATGATAAATATATTCTATGTAAAAAATTATAGAAAAAATATAAATAATAATAATTTGAATAAAAGCATCATCCCACATAAAAAACATAAAAAAGTAAAAAAGGAATTACAAAAAATGCAGAATTTCAGAAAGATAAACATTGGAAAATAGAAATTTCAGAAAATCAAAGAAATTATAAAAACAACAAAAATTATAGAAAACCACAAAAAGTTGCAAATAAATAACAAAAAATACAAGAAAATGTATAAGGTTTAAAAAAACAAAAATTATTAAAACACTAAAAATTATAGAAAAACTGAAATGCAAAAAAAGTACAGGAAATTTTGAGAAAAAAATTATAAAAAGTGTAAGAAATTCAAAGAAAAATGGTAAACCAAGAGTACTTACGTTCAAACAATTAGAACAAATTAAATAGAAAAAAATAAGGGCAAATTTCTTAAACAACCCCTATTGTTTAGCTAATTGACAAACTGTACCTTATTGTTTAACTATTGCCTTAAACTAACCCTACTATTTATGATTAAGTGCTAATGGAAAAAAGAAATGTCAAACTTACCTTCCACTATTCTTCCAATTTTTAAAATAAATTCTAAGTTTAAGGAAGCAAATCGCTGCTCTGTCTCTGGCTAACGGGAAGCAGCTTCCCAGCAACCCCAAATGAAGAGAGAACCCCTCCTTCCATGCATAGGCCCCGGTAAGAAACTATTCCCACTCTCTTCAACGCCTCTCTCAGATTTCCGGCATTTAGACTGAAAGCCCAACCTCTATGACATTGGTGGTTTTGTGTTCATCAATAACAAACATTGAAGGAGACAGAATCGTTCAAGACACCTGGCACCAAAGCGTGTTGGTGTGCTTTGAGCCACTTAACCCTATTTAAAAAGGCAACAAGATCACCGGTCTAGATTTTAACTTCCAAAGTAGTTCTTCCTTCTGTAACCAATATTGATATTGTCTTTTTAGGTCTTGTAGTTGTTTTTCTTCCCTGGTTGATAGAAGTTTGAGTTGCATTTCAGCAATTTGGAGAGCAAGCAAGAGTTTGGAGGTGATGTTGTATATACCCAAAAGAGGATTTGTTCCATGCCTGCAATGAATGTTTGCAAGACTGCAGTTGCAGTTGAACTGTATGATAGTTCTGGACATTCCAAGCTTCTACAATTATGGATTTACAGTCTAGATGGTCTATCCAAGAAGGTCGGTAGTGGAACTATGATTTTCTTGGAGTTTTTCTGGGAGAGTGGATATTTTGGTGGGACCATGACTATAGGAGATTATGGATAAGTGAAAGAGGGTTGTTTGTGGGTAAATTTGTAACCAAGAGGGTGTAACCAACCCACTATAAATGGAGAGTGGGTGTTCTTGTCATATACCTCTAGATGGGATAGATCTTTTCCCCCAAAGATCCATTTACAAGGAATTAATAACTCATTATAGTTATACATTCCATGACTAGATCAATCCATTTTTATTCAGCCTCATTTTTTCTAGGGTTTTTCTAATATATGGCCACATAGGTTTTTTTCATGTCAATTTTATGTGCAATCAATCCTGTGTTTTCTTTCTTGTCCTTTAAAGTATAAAAGATTTCATTGGCTACATTATCACTAATTTTTCTTCTACGAACAAACATAGTTTGATATTGAGAGACCGATTTCCCAGGAATGGGCTTTATTCTATTTACATGAATTTTTGCTATTATTTTGTATATGACATTACATAGACTGATAGGCTTGTAGTGGTTTTATTTTTTTGAATTATTTATTTTTGGGATTAAGATGATAAATGTGCTATTTAGATTTTTGGACATTTTACTATTGTGGAAAAAAGGCCTCTATAGATTTTGTGATACTATTACTAATAACATCCCCATATTTCTTGAAAATATTGGCATTCAAACCATTAGGCCTGGTGCATTAAAGTTCCCTATAGAATTTAGAGCTTCAGTTATTTCCTCAAGCTCTACTATATGTCTATATGACTTAGTCTTACATTTTCTTCCTTTGTTATTTCACTCTCTACATCTAGGAGTTGATCCATTTTTTCTATTTGTCCTTGCTTTAACTTGTCCTTAAAGACTTCTAATAACACCTTTTTTATTTGATGTGGTTCAAACACCCACTCATTGTTAATAGTTTTTACTTTTATAATTTTATTTTTGTATTTTTGTAATGTTTAGAGAATTGGACCGATTATAGAACTAGAGAGGGGAGAGGTTCACGAGTCAGAGGTTCAATTGGGGTCGAATCGTGATGATGTGGCATATACATATATATACTAAAAGTTATATAAATATTGTATATTATATATCTTACAACCTTTTAATATACTTAAATATGGTGTATTGATGGCAAAGTCCTTAATTTTTAAAGCAAATGATTAGGGTTCAAGTTTCTTAATTTACATTTTCTTTAAAATGCATGCACAATAAAGTAATATGTACAATTAAGAGTTACTAATTAATATAAGTTAAGAGGTGAACTAATGGTTGTTAAGTAATATAAGAAAACTAACGGGGACCCGTGCGATGCACGGGATTTATTAAGCGAAAGTTAAATAATAGAAATGATCATTTACTAAAATACCTCTTATAGTTTCATAGATTTACTAAAATCTACCCTATACTTAGCATTTTACTAAAACACCACTTATAATTTGCAATGAATTTAATCAATGTTCCATTAGATGATAGTGGAAAATGACAGTGTTGACCCTTAATAAGACACGGGCAACCACTCTATTGGCTATATTTGGTCAATTTTGTTTTATATACAAAAAAAGTGTTAAGGGTATTTTTGGAAGAAAAAATCATGGGTTTAATGGCAAAACAAACACTCCTTAGTGAAAGGTTGATTAAGTAAATAAGTTGTAAAATATATGGGATGTTTTAGTAAAGTGAAAACTATAAGGAAGGTTTAAGTAAATATGTAAAGCTATAAGGTGTGTCTGGGCAAAGATCATATTCACCGTCCCCGACCCCGATTCTGAAATTAACCCTCATCCCCGTTCCCTAACGGGGATGGGTTCCCCATGGGGACCCGAATCCCTAAAATGTTTTTAGATAATAGTATTTTTTTAAATAAATATATTTAAAATAAATAAAATTTTTAAATTATAAATAATGTTTTAAATATGTTTTAATATATATATATATAAATAATATAATAGTATATTTAATATAAATAACATTTAATATATATACAATCGGGGTCGGGGTCGGGGTCGGGGTGGGGCGGGGACCTTAATCCCCACCCCAACCCTGACTAGGGATTCCTATTAATCCCCATCCCCGACCCAGGGATTCCTATTAATCCCCATCCTCCAATTATTTATTTTCTTCCTCTCCTCAAACCCCTTTTTCTGATTCTCTCTCTACACTCTCTCCATCTCTCTCTATGTTACCCCCAATTGCCCATCCGGACACCACTTTTATCGTTGCAACGGCAGGCCCAGACAAAACGCCGATAGAGATCCAACCCGTGATCTCACGTCCCCTCCATTGTAACTGTAGTTAGTGCTGCCTTTTCTTCCATTGGTTTCTTGTTTAAGTGAGTGAAGCTACCGGAGACTCACGACCCACCAGAAAAAAACCCGTTCAGTGCCTTTCTATTCAAGAAATTCCCGTCGAGAAATAACCTTCTCAGCAACAACTTGTTACGCTGGAGAACAGGTTCTCAAACCGGTAGGTCTGAAAATAGTCGGAGATGGTTAGGTTGCAACAGTACATGGAGCCTTTGGTCCACACCTTCTCCTTTTTCCCCTTTACTTCACTCACATTCCCCCACATGGCCGTCAGTCACTACCACCATTTGATCTCCATTCTAGGAAAATGAATACCTCTCATCTGAGCTCACCAAGAGCGACAACTTGAAGCACCTGGGCTAAAAAATTCCAACCCCTTCTCTTCAGCATTTGGGGGAGGCACCGCCCTCATCTCTTCGTGAATTTCCTCCTTTACCAAAAGAGCTGCCCTCAGCACCTCCATTCTGATCATAAAATCTCAAGATTTGTGAAATTATTGTTAGAAAGACCGACCCGTTGCAAACACAGGAGAACAAGAGAAAGCATCCACCTAATGGCAGCCATGGAATCTATTCAGTGCCTCGATGGAGTATTGACGCCAGAACAAGTAATGAAACCTCATTTAAAGTGATTACACATCTCTAACAAAGGGAACACCATGTTCTTGATTAGGTTTTCAATATGTCGATTATTGGTGTTCAACATCGCTTAGCCATTGGTTTGGGCATTCAGGATATTAGATTGAGGGGTTGCTGATTGATTATTCAATCTTTAATTGTTTTTCTTTTTTTTTTTTTCTTTCATTTAGCCTCTTTCCCTTGCCAGATCCGAACTTTTTTTTTATAAATCAGATTAAAACTTCTTTCTCATTCATAACCACAACAATCGTGATTTACTATGTAGCAGAGCTTCTAGTCCTCGTTAAATGTCTTGAGATATCAGAATCAGAAGAATAAACAGGAAACACACACAGAACATGGAAAAGATAAAACATATAGCCAATTTCGCGTCATACAAGTTCACCATTTTTTTGGCAAAATAAAGCTCAGAAAGCAAATCTGTTCAGTGTGGGAGGAAAGGAAGAGAGAGAGGTTGGAGGAGGAAGGGGTGTTGGTGAGGGTAATATTGGATTTTAAAAAAATTTAAATGTTACGTAATGTCATATGTATACGGATTTTGAGGACGCTAACAGTAGGAGGGGTAAAGATAGTCAATTGTCATAAAACTTTGAATACTCTAAAACAATAATTAAATAGTAAAAGTACGATGGAGGAATCCATTGGAGGCCCGCCCGTTATTAATTAACTAAACAGTAGGAATATTTTAAAAAAATTATCTTTAAATATTTTGGATTTCCGCCCTCTTATCAATTAAACCTTAACGCCGGGTGTATGGACTCAGGTTGGTTAAGATCGGACATCCAATTGCAAAAGAAATGATACTATTAGTTAGATCAGAAAATATACATGATAATACTTTTTTAATGTATCCGATCAAAAGCATATTTAATGTGAATTTTAGGGAGTAGGGGTTTAGGATTTAGATCATTAGATATGAAAATCAGGACGTGGTAAGACGAAAGCATCCGACGGTGGTAGGAGTAAAGTAAAGCCTAATTGGGCATTCCTTCTAGTGATTTGTTACGACTGAAGCGATACCAAACAAACCATATATATCCATGAATGCAGCATGTCTTCCACAAAAATTACCATAGAAAAAGTCCTAATAATTTCAACACAACACAAAATTCAAAACATAAGAAGATAGAAATAAAAAAATTAAAATAAAATGTATCTTTAGTCAAATCAAAACAATGTAATCCAGCGAGGCAAGAAGCCAACGTAAAACACACCCAAGTGGAAGTAGAGAGAGATGTACTTCACTGTGGTTTTCTACAAGTAATGATGACATTTTTGAGGGCATCCTTCTCGTATCCCTCACATAATAATCGCAAGCCAAACAGTCCCTTTATGTTTTGCCATCCTGAATGAACCCAAAACCACACATTTCATAGACTGAAAAATAACAAAGGAAAAGGCAGATTACAAGTAGAGAATGTGATGAAATGCAAGCATATATACCTCTTCGAAGCAGTGGGATGATTCTCTTCCATGAAAATAAAGAGCGGATCACAGCAGGCCAAAATGGAGTCACATACCGCGACCAATCTGCTACCTTGATATCCTGCCATTGTGATGACTCCAAATAGAATTATGTCTGTTTTTTTCATCTATGTATTCCAAAAGAAAATCATGTATATGTGTGTTGAGTATGTACATAATTGTGTAGATAAATGTGGCATGTGTCACGGATAATCAATTAAATTGGACAATTCAACAATTAAGAATGATATGAGAATGAACATTTGTGAGTAAGCTACAATATTCTTATTGTATTAATGTACATGAGACACAGTTAGAGACGGAAATGAGGTGGGAGAGGTCAATCCTTTGGCCTTCTTCTAAGCAACTTAGGTTCAAATTCTTGCTAGAGAAGGTGCAGCAATTAATCACCATTCATTGGGGTTTGGGTTACAACCAAGGATCAAAGTCCGATATTTGAATTTTGAAATTCGAAAATACAACTTTGCAATTGGTGAGATTTGAACATAAGTCGTCCAAACACAACCCAAATGAATATATATATATATATATATATTTAACTAAAAATTAAAAAGAATAATCTTCAAAATTAGTATTTTGTAAACATGGATGAAATGAATAATCTATCAATTTCATATTTATGTATTTTATTAATTTTAATAGATCTGATATATTTCTAAGTTCAAATTAAATATTTTTAAATGATTAATTAATATTTTTATTTACATTAAATAACAACATATTTATAATTTAATTGCAAAAACAAAAAAAAATATTGTTTACAAAATATTTGAGAATCTAATATTAAGTTGACCCTTTTACTAATACTAAAAAAGTAAAAATAATAAAATAGTAAATAATTAAGTAATTAAAATTTAATAGTTGCATATATTATTATGCACATTGGACTTCAATAAATAAAAACATTAACAATGGCATCATGCATATAGTAGTTTGTAAAAATCTATATAATATGTGTTTTGGACTTTTAATTGATAATAATTGTGTTGTATTTCTTCATATGTACCATAAAAAAATGTGTTTCTTATTTACTTATACCTTATTCCTGGCTAATTCAACACTAAATTTAGTGTTTTCAATGTATTTGGGGGTTTATAACAACTTCCCTAATATATCCCAAAGTATATCTATATCTTTCTACCATATCCATGTGTTTTCAAAATGTATCCATATTCAAGTTTAATGATACAATACTCAATACGAATACTTTAGTCCTTCGTTACAACAATTCACAACACCTGTTAATATTCAAATATGTTTAAACATATTGAAACATTATTATCCAATTCCACATCCATTCCATCCCATTCAAGCTATGACACCTGAATATCCATACATGCTTAGCATGCCAGAATTATGCTATAAAGTAAATCTTATATGTTATAGCCTCAAATTAATTTTTGGCAAAACAAAAGTCTTCATAAATGTATAGATAGCTTCAAAACTAGATGGAAAAGAATGATATAAGCACATATATCATATGGGATACCCCTACCTAATCCCTCGCCCAAAATTTTAGTGAATGGAGAGCTGTATCTCTCTTTCCCATTTTTTTATACATGTTGATATCTAGGTATTGTAGATCCCACGGCTCTAGATAGTTAGGACTAGCATTGTATAATGATCTTTCAATTTTATCTCTTTCCTCTTCCTACTTTTCTTTTAGAATGTTCTTTTTATATATAAATCTATCTGCCTCATTGTATTCATAGGGATACTCAATTAGGTTGAGGTTAAGTTTATGGGTTTGGTTCAGAGTTCATATTAGCCCCAACCCATGCTGGTTGACCCGTTTTCATCCTTTGGCACATTTTAGAGAACGCATGAGCCACTTCATTGCAGACCACATGGGTTCACTAATTACACAAACACTATCTCTACCTTTCTTTGCTTTTTTTCTTGGGTGGGGTGGGGGGTAGATATTCTTAGAGAATACATATTTTCTATAGATACTAAAATGGGGAAAGCAAGAAGAGTTAACTCGGTAAGAACTTGGAAATTGGAGGGGCGAACTATGGAACAAGAAAAAGACATAGCAGACTCGTTTGTCAGTTTCTTTAAAGAACTTTTCAGTGAACCTTGCAAAAACAGACCAAAATTGGATGGATTATTGTTTAGCTTTTCTCACAGAGCAGTAGGCCTCGGACTTAGAGAAACCCTTCTCAGAAGAAGAGATAAAGAAGGCTTTAGAAGATATGGAAGGGGTGAAGGCTCTGGGTCCAGATGGTTTTACAATGTTATTCTTTAAGAAATTTTGAGAGCTAATTAAAGCTGGTTCGATGAAGATGCTGGAGGAGCTTAAATGTAATTTTTATAGCCTTAATTCCTAAGAAGAGTGGAGTTGTTGAGCTGAAGGATTTTAGGCCAATCAGTTTACTGTTTACAAAATTTTGGCCAAAATTCTGACCACCAGATTAAGACAGGTGATGGATACACTCATCGCTAAGTACCAAGGTGCCTTTGTCAATAACAAACATATACATGATGTTCTCATAGCCAATGAGTTAATTGATTCAAGAAATGGGAGGAATGGGCTTCTGTATAAAATAGACCTAGAAAGGCTTATGACCATATCAACTGGGCTTTTTTTGAACTATTTAAAGGAGAGAATGCATTTCGGCTCTAAGTAGAGAAGTTAGATGAAAGTCTGCACAAGTACTCCAAGATTTTCAGTTCTAGTTACTGGTTCAACAAGAGGCAACTTCAACAGTTCGAGAGGTTTGAGGCAAGGGGATCCCTTGTCACCATTACTATTTTTATTAGTAATGGAAGGTCTCAGTAGAATGGTAAACAGGGCTGCAGAGCTAGAGTTGTTGGAGGGTTTTTGAAGTGAGCACCAACGGCACAAAAATTCCCATTTTGCAATATGTAGATGATACATTCTTTTTTTGTAATGCACTGGAGGACCAAATCATTAACCTGAAACATCTTCTATTCTGGTTTAAGATAGTTATCATGCCTAAAGGTGAACCTAGCAAAAAGTGAAATGATAACTGCTAAAGAGGTTTCCAACACTCAGAGAATGGCAGATTTGTTTGGATGCAAAGTTGGACCTCTTCCCACAAAACATTTGGAGTTGTCTCTCAATGCTAAATGTACATCCAAAGCCATTTGGAATCCAATTTTAGAGATGATGGATCAAAAACTGGCCATTAGAAAGCAAGATATCTCTCCAAAGGTGGGAAGGTAACTCTAATAAAAAGTGTGTTAGAAAGCCTTCCGACCTATGTTATGGCCCTCTTTCCAATTGCTTTAGAGGTGGCAAAGAAATTAGAAAAGAAGATGAGAGACTTTCTGTGGCTGGGTTGGAAGATTCTCATAAATACCACCTTGTGAAGTGAGACCAAATTTGTAAACTCCATTCACAAGGTGGTTTGGAGATAGGACATTTAAAGTCCTTCAATTTAGCCTTACTGGGTAGTTGGCTTTGGAGGTTTTCTATTGGGCCAGATAACCTGTGGGCTGGATAGGAATAGGTTGGATACTAGTTCACCGACTTCGATGGTTTGACCTGCGGTTGTGGCTTGTGGAAAGGAATATGTAAAGATTATACACTTTTTCAGAAGATGCATCAGATATAAAATTGGAGATGGTAAGGTAAGAGAATCAGATTCTGGTTAGATCCCTGGACCGGTGACAGCACTCTTAAAGAGTTGTTTCTACTTTGTTCAATATGGCTACTGACAAGGAGGAGTTGGTAGCTGACACTTTTGTGAGGAGGGATTACATGAGATTCAGATGGTTGAAAATCTACTCACTGTACTCCAAAACTAGGCTTTAAACTTACAAACTCAAGACTCAAAAGTATGGAAATAGAACAAGTCAGGAGAGTTCTCAGTCAAACCTTTTTTATAGCTTTCTAGTGGGAGAGAATGAAGTCCTTTTTCCTAGTCAAGCTATTTGGGGGGGACAGTGACATCCTTAAAAGTCAAGTTTTTTTGTTGGGTAGCAGCTTTAGAGAAGTGCCTCTCCAAAGAAATGTTGTTAAAGAGAGGTTTCATCTATAATGATCTGAGATGTTGTCTTTGTAATGTGGAGCTAGCATTAGTTAGGCATCTGTTTCTGCATTGCAAGTTTGCTTCAGAAATTTGGAGCTACTTTTTGAAGGCCCTGAATTTAAGTTGGTGCATGCCTATCTAAGTGAAAGCCATGTTGGATGATTTGCACATATCTGGGTCCCTTTGGCAATTCTGTGGGTTGTGCGTGGCTGGAAAGAAACAAAAGAATTTTTGGACATAAAGCTTTTTGAAGTCCTACTTGATAGCTTTTTGTACAGTTTCTCATTGTACAAATGACCTTTTGCTTTAATACAATTACTAGCAAAGGGGGCCTTGCGTTGCAAGGGCTCGCTCATAAACTATCAAGCTCGAATTCGATTCGAATTAAAGACTTGAACTCGAGCTCGATCTTGACTCGAGTCAAAAGCTTGGAAGTTCGAGCTCGGATACCTTTGATTGCAGGTCTCTCAAGCAACCAAGATTCCGAGCCGAGGTCTCCCTCAATTGCCGAGGTGCTAAATCGAGGTCTCCCTCAGCTGCTAAAGTGTCGAGCTGAGGTTTTCCTAGCAAGCGAGGTGTCGAGCTAAGGTCTCCCTTAATTGACAAAGTGTCGAACTGAGGTCCCCCTCAGTTGTCAAGGTGGTGACCCGAGATCTCCCTCAATAACCGAGGTGCCGAGCCAAGGTCTCCCTCAATAGTCGAAGTGTCGTCTAGCTTGACCTCGATTCGAATTAGAGACTTGAACTTGAGCTTAGAAGTTTGAGCTCGGCTCAGCTCAAACTTGACTACCTTTGATTGCAGGTCCCCTAGCAACCGAGATGCCAAGCTGAAGTCTCCCTCAATTGGAGAGAGAGTGGCATTCTTATAATTTATAAGGAGAGAGAGATGGTATTCCATTTCCCTCATCCTTGGACCTTATTACATACACATTTCAGCTTAATAGATTTATATAAATATAGATATAGATACTTTACCTTTTCTCAAAAAAATGGGGAGAGGAAGGCCTATTCTCTATGACATACAAATGCATAATTCTAAAAATTAAGCCTAAAGAAAATGGATTCTCCATTTGGATGTGAATGCCTGGAGTGAGAGGGATTGAAGTAGTTTCACATAATCAGCAGCTGAACACCAAGGTTGTAGATGTAAAGTATCACGTATCTTGTCCAATAGCTTCTTCTCTTCTGGCTTCAAGTCCTCTGAGGAGGAGAGATCTCTATGGCACCATGTTACTATTATTATGGTGGCCCCAGGGGCTGCCACCCGGGCCAACTCACTCACTAACTACAAGACATGATAAAATCAAATTATAAATTAGAGCAATTAGGTTCATTTATATAGAAGTGGAATTTCTCTCTATTTTTAGAGACTGCAAGTACACGATATTAGTAGTCAATTGAATTTTGTCTTTGCAAGTCATAATAACTACGTAGAGAGGGGAGAATTCTTCTTTTTATATCAGCATTTTGGTATGCAAAGGAAATAAAATATCACCATACAATTCAAGAGCTATGAACCATTTATGCCAAGCAATGATATGATATGGTTAAATAAGCATTCGATGTTCCAAATTGGTGTCCTGATGTCAATTAAAAGCTAATGAAGAACTTGAATCTCAAAGGTTCAGTTTGGAAGGAGTACAAATACAAATATGTAGAGTGCAAAAACCTTGCATTTTGTATTATTTTGTATATATTTGTACTATACAAATTTGTATATGTATTCCTTCCCAACTAAGCGAAATGTACTATTTATATATACACCCTTATGAAATCAAAATTTCCTCTTTTGTTCATTTAGGCATCTAAGAGAATCTTGAATGAAAGATGATGTATGTAGAGAACCTTCTTTTTGTCAGGCATGTGCTGCGCACTCTCCATGCACCAAACTAGATCAAACTGCTCATCGGGAAATGGTTGTTGCAAAGCATCCGCAACTAGGAATGACACCTGCTAAGAGTTTACAATAGAATTATTTTTTAAAATTCTAAATTCTAAAAAAAATATCTATATAATATATTTGTATGTACTTTGAAACTGTATAAATAAATATTAATCATATATTTAGATTTAATTTTTATGACTTGTATGACTTGCGGCATGACAGATGTACTGTTTTGCAGAGAATTAAACAAGAAATAACAATATTAGATGCCACAAAACTCACATACTTTATCTGCTAATCCCTGCGCAGCTGCAAGTGCTTGAGCCCTTTGTATTTGGACAGGGCTCAAGTTGATGCCTTGGCATTGGGCCCCATATTTCCTCGCTAGGTATATGGAGTCGGCCCCTGACCCACACCCAACATCAACTATGCTCTTCGGCTTCTTTACTGAATCCTCTGCAGTTCAATCTCCTCGTGTCATAATAATAATAAAGAAAAAAACAAAGAAAGAAACCGGACTAAGAAAAAAGAATGCATATTTGAAACCCATTTCTCAATAAATTGAGATAAAGTAGAAAATAATAGAGAAGAAACAAATCCAATTAGACCTGGTAAAATGTTGATCCAACCCGTGAACCCGACCTAACCCAACCCAAAAAAATAGGGTTAGGGTCTCATATTGAACTACCTGAATCTGAGAAAGACCCGATTTGACCCTACCCAGAAAAAACTGGATTGGGTTGGGTTGGGTCATAGGTCAACCCGTTGACCCGTGTTAGGCCTAATTCGGACTATTTATGTATTGTTAGAAGTTTTCGCTCTTTAATTTTTACTATTTAGTCTTTACTATTTATTGTTTACTATTTGAATTGTTAAATGTTCAATTTTTTTTTATTTTATATTTGGAATTTTAATGTTAATTACTTTAATTTTGGCAAATTTCATGTATTTATTCTTTATTTTTTAAATTTTAATTATTTTTTGGGATGATCCGAATTGACCCATGGGTCAACTCTAACCCGAACATTTAGGGTTAGGGTCTAGCATTTGGCAACCCAACCCAAAATTCAACCCGACCCAAAATCAACCCATAGTGTCTTGACCCAACCCGAACCCRACCCACCCAACCCCATTGTCAGGTCTAAATCCAATGCATCAAATCCTTTTCCAACCCGGCCCCGACCRGGTATATAGAAATTATTGTAAAAAAACTGGGTATAAATGGCGTTAGTTTGAGATTTGACTTCTCTRTCTCCTAACTATGTAAATGATTTGAATTTTGGCACTGATCGAGCAATTATTTCACCTATTGGTCAAACTAAGGCCCTATTTGGTTTGTAGGAATAGGGGTCTGGAATTGGAATCAGGATGGGTTATTCCAATTCCAACTGTTAGATTAAGCGGAATAGAAATCTCATTCTCATCCCTACTGGAATGGCATTCCCCCATTTGAGGGAATGGCCATTTCCTTATGAACGAAACCCCATTCTTGTTGATTCCAATTTTCATTCTCATTCTTATCTGAACCAAGCATACTATAGGAATAAACGATTTCGATTCCAACTGTGAACAAAATAGACCCTAATTTGACTCAGTCCACCTGCTTTCCAGTTCAACATTCTATTGCTAAAGATATGCCATGTGGGATAGATGACAATGTTAGTTAGCTATAGATTGAGTAGAGGAGGTGATAATAAGGCATGAAAACAAGTGCGTGGGTCCAACCACAGCTTTCCAATTCCCGAGTTAACTTCACTCCATGACTCTCCTAAGTTTACTCCTAGCTCTTGACCATTGAGAATTGAGGGTCCATTTGTTTCATAGTTAAAATCAGAATCGGTATGAAATCAAAATCTATGGAATCAGAATTGGAATTAGAATGGTTTATTTCTATAGTCTATTTTGTTCAAATAATAATTGGAATGGAAATTAGAATCAATTGCAATGAGATTTCATTGTTAAGGGAAGGGGAGGGAATGGCCATTCCCTTAAATGTGGAAATGGCATTCTAACAACAATGAGAATGGGATTCTGATTCTACCCAACCAAATAGTTGGATTCTAATTCCAATTCCAGACCCCTATTCCTAGAGCTGTAAGGTGTGTCGTGCCGCCCATGGGCCAGTAGAACCCAGACATTATAGCAATTGGGTTGTGCCACAGCCCAGTCAACATATATTTATTTATTTCTTTTCAATTTTATTTATATTTTGCTGTAATTCTTTTCATTCCATTTTATTATTTCATATATAAACAATTGTATACATCAAAATTCATATAGAGTAAAATTCTAAGATATTTTTAATTTCTTATCCATTGTGATAATTTATTTTAATTTTTTCATTTTCTTTTTCAATTTTTCTAAAAAGAATCAACACCCATAGCTCGGCTTGACAGGGCATTGGCCCGCATGGGCTTGTGCCATGGGCCATGTTAGACTTCTCTTTTGAGCCAGGCCAGACAAACACAACCCACCCACACTACAAAAAAATTAGCTTTTAGTGACAGACGCATAATAGTGTCCATCACTATAAGTCATTTATAGTGAGGAAATAAAATAGCCGTCACTATAAATAAGATATTTAGTGACAGAAATCGACGGAAGGATTTTTTGTTGCCATAAATAATCTATAGCAAGGAATATAGGGAATTCTGTCACAAAATTTTCATTTATTGTGACGGACAATTAAATGTCCATCACAAAATCATAAAATATTGGTATATAGTGACCGATGTATGATGTCTGTCACAAAAAGTTATGTTATAGTAACTGACGATTGAACTTTCGTCACAAAAAAAAAGACTTATAGTGACGGACAACTAAATGTCTATCATAAAATCACAATCATGATAAATAGTGACAGACAATTAGCATTCGTCACAAAAACTTGATTTATAGGAGCAAATAATTTAAATTTTGTCACAAAATGTTGATTTATAGTGACGAACAATTGAATGTCTATCACAAAATTAAAATCACAAGATCTTCATTTATGGGCATTTTTTTTGTCATCACTGTTTAACTTTAAAGATTATTTAAGTTTAAAATAATTTAATAAACTGGTCATTTGAATTGTTGAATTGATAGATCCAAACAATGGGTCATACATTATACATTTAGACATTTAAAAATAATGTTTTAGTAAATTTTCATTTAAGTCTAACTAGGGATGATCCTAGGTTAAGTTTCCATAGATCATTAATAGAATTTTGTGCTACTTAGGCTCTATGGGCCCACATATTGGGCATGATAATATATGTTTGAGGCTTGCATTTAAGTTGGGCCATATAAATTAATTAACTATATGTAAAAAGATAAAATATTAAATTAATTTTGTAACAAAAGATATAAAAAATACATGTAAAAATTTCTATATCATATATATATATAATGAAATTTGGTTTTAATCGAAATAATCGATAAAAAATTCAATAAATTAGTTTGGTGTTTTATTACTTCGCTTCAACCGCCTTTCTTAGAAAATTTGATTAATTTAGTTTAATTTTTAACTAAATAAACCTAACTCATCCTTAGTTTGGGATTATATATATATATATATCTTGCCAATTGGATTGATGATGATTTGGAAATACTACTTTTTATTGGAAAATTGCGCATAGGGGTGCCAACAGGTTGAGTCTAGCTTGGGGCTAGATAGAACTAGTTCGAAACTAATTATTGATCAAGACAAAATCACAGACGCAAAACTACATTTTGTTTATTTAAGTAATTACTTAAAACTTTGCTAGAAATTTTGGTTTGCTTTCAACCCTCCAGCTTAGTTGGTTGGGCTTACGGTCGCTAGGGTTTGGACCGCAGTGCAAGCTCAGTTGGTTTTCAGTACAGTGTGCTATTTTGGTGGTACAAGGTTTAGTTTTTTGTTTTGTTTGGGTCAGGGTGCCTTTTATGTGGTTTTGTTTTTGTTTTGAGTGACCTGTCTTTCTCAAGTGCGCTCTTGTATAAAGCTTGTATGTTTATTTTGTTATTTTTTTTTATATTAATGAATTTTACCTTACCTTTCTCAAAAGCAATTACTTAAAATTTAAAATTTAATAATATAACCTTAATAAAGTGATAGAAAATATTATCTTTGTTTTGGGCTATCATGTAACTGTTCTCTTGTTTTATTGTTCTGATAGGTGAGATAAGAGTGTTTATCTCTTTTATTCTTGTACCTGTGTTTTTTATCTCTACTTTTAATAAAATCAGCGAATTATCGATAAAAAATGATAGAAAATACTAAATTATTTATATGTTACTAAATTCAACATTTTTACTAATATTATCTTAATTTTATTTACCAAATTTATCATTTCAAACATAAAATTTGATAAAAAATATAAGAAAAATAAGAAAATAATATATATTTAATAAAACAGTCAATTCTAGGTCTAAATCAGTTCAGGACATAAAAGGATTGGAATTGACCCAATTATTAATCGGGACAAAATCATAAAACCAGAACCATTATAATCGGTTTGGGTCCATTAGGTAGACTCAACCCATTGACAGCCTTACTATGCGCCTTTTCCTACCCTCTTCTCAGATAAGCCTATTCATAGGCCAAGTAGTCCGACGGGTTGGCCCTATTTAACCTGTTCTAAATTGTGTTTGGACAAAATTTTAAGCCCACAAGCTTGGGCTTGGGCTCTAAACATCAAGCCTGATTATTTTTTGGGTTGGGCTCGAGCATTCCCAAATAAACTCAGATTGATAATATTATAGATATAATAAAAGATATATAATATATATTAATAATATATAATATATTATATAAAAATAAAATTAATAGCAAAAAAGTATTATCTATTATAGTATATAGGATATTATATATTTATATAATATATTTTCAATAATATATAATTAATATGTTATAAAATACCTGTCAAAGTCAGGCTTCATACTTGAACCTAGGCTTTAGGCTTTATTATAAAGGGCCAAGCTTGGTCTCAAGATCTAGGCCCGATGATTAGGCCGGACTCAGACTTGGGCTTGGTGATTTTGTATTTATCTATACTATATATAAAAGTGTAAATGTAGTGTGAAAGTTTTTTTGAACTAAAATTATCCTCTACTTCTTTGTTTGATAAATGGTATAAAAGTCACTTTATTATAGTTTTAATGTCAGCTTTAATTGCTACTAAAGTGTCCATATTTGTGTATTTAATCCATCTCTAATTGTAAGGGTTGAAAATATAACTTCAATTATTACTTTCCACTTCATTTAATTTTCTCTAATTAAGTCTTATACTAAATGTATTAAATCTCAATTTCTCTTATTAAATCATATATTTTAAGTTATTTTTTGCTAATAAATGCTACTAATTATATCTATGCCAATATTTTTAATAGTATAAATCCATATATTTTAAAATTGACTCAAAAACAAAACCATTTTTTTTCTAAGTGGTGATTAAGCAATTCAACAATCTAAATCAAATTGATCAATCTACAAAGTCATAGTTCGACAATAAAATTTTTAAAATAGAAATAAATATAGGAAATTACAAAAAAAATATAGAAAAAATAGACACATTTACGAAATCAAACTATTTTTTTTTTTATAATGAAAATGAAATACATAATTTAGAACTGGCCAAAAATGAAATATAAAAATTAACAATAAATAGTAAAAATTAATAAAATATAAAATACTAAAATAAAAAATACATAGGTTTTGCAAAAAAATGCATTCAAACACATGTATAATATCATATATTTATCATGTTAAACAAAAAGTAAGTGTAAAATATTAGAATTAGTTTTACACACAAAAATAAAAAGAAAAAAGAAAAACTATAGTAAAAATTGAACACATCTATAATTCTATATTTACACTACTATTAAAACTATGAATAAGATTGTGGAATTTTCTTTTAACTAAAATATTCATTTTTGAATTTAGTCTCTATTTAATTGTGAGGTTTAAATTATAAATTGAACTACTACTTTTCACCCCATTCAATTCACTCTATTTAAATCTTACATTCTTTGATAAATGAACAAAAAAAAGATATACAAAAAAAAAAACATTACAAAATGAAGAATTTATCCAAGCAGTACGGGTGCAAATGGATCGAATCATGATATGATCCAATCCTTTTTGTCGAATTTGGATATCCCCAGTCCGGAACTTCAAATCAGATCAGGTCGGATAATAGGGTTCAATAAAAAACTAGATCGAATTCAGATCACTCCATATCCAATCTGATATATATGTTATTTTATTTATTTATAAATATATTATTTATATTAATTTTGTATAAATTTGTTATATTATTTATTATATATATATAATGACAAAATTGCAAAACCCCAAAGAGTGATGATATCCTTGGCAATAATTCTGAAGCCATATGTATCTTTTTGCTCTAATTCAACAAAAATGGTTGCTTCCTTTTAAAGAATTGGATGATAGAGTCACAAAACAAAATATTTTACAAAAAGACCAAGGAGAGCAGGGGAAACGGATCTTGCTTTAGAGTCGTTTTCTGAGAAAATGGTGCTAGATCAGTTGCACCGTTTTTCTGAGAAAATGACTTCTTTTATTTGTTTGGCATTGAAGTTGTCACATAGGATGTTTTCTAGGGAAAGGCACTAGTTTTATTTGGTATCAATGCTCTATAATTGTTTTCAGCATTGATCCACATATCCAATGGTTTGCACGATGCCATGTCATGGTACAGTTGGTAGCAATAGTTCCAAAAATAAGAAAATACCAAATTCGATGTTTTCCCGAGCCACGCTTTCCCGAATTCCAATGCAATGCCGTTTTTCAGAACAATGGTTCCAAACAAGGATACAATTCTTGGCACATTGTTTTTCTGATGTGTCGTAGACGTGGAGCCGTTTTCTGAAGCAACAACATTGATGCCAAACACCACCTAAATTTATCACAATTCTCAGAAGGAACGGAGTCTTTGTATTTATCACTAATTCAGTATGTCTATAACTAGGTCACTGAGAAACTGAGACAACAACAATTCATTGAAGAATTGTGCTCTAGTCCCATCAACTAGGGGTGCTCACGGTTAGGTTAACCAAACCGTGGGCTTATTTTTGAAATTGAACTAGGGTTACCAGTTTTCTCATTTTTATTCTACATAAGAATAAAACGCGAAAAATGCGAGAAGTTTCATTTGGAGCTTTCTGAAATCAGTCCAAAATGGGCTTTTCGCATTTTTTCGTTGTTCTGTCTTTGGGTGGCTAGATCCTCCATGTGCCAAACAGAAATAGACCAAAAATCGGTCTTCCAAGCTTGTAAACAGCCGAAAGACCACTCCGAGATATGTGCCAAACAGGCTCAAAGTATTTGTGTTGTACACATGTTGGGTCTGATATTTTACAAGACAACCAGAACTCAGAAATTCAGAATCCTCTTCTCATGCTTAAAGAATGATAGGACGTCATGGTATCAACGGTGGAAAATCTATGATTCTGGTGTCCATCATGCAGTTTAGGTGCTGGTGGGATGTGATGAATATCATTCTTAATTCTGCTCATATGAACATATAAATGCTTTAAAAGATAATGGAGATTTTGTGTATTGTGGGTTTATCGTTCGAGGCTTGAAAGTTGGTCATTTTGGTTCTAGAAATTGGATTGTCTTCTACAAGCTCTTACTATTCAAAAACTGCCATCAATCTCTCCCACTGTTTTTTTTCAAGCTGAAGGTGATAGATACCCTCTTGTTGGGGACATGGCTGAGCTGGCCCAGAGGCCTATGACCATCTATCACAGCTCGGCCACATCGGCGATGTCCGGCCGAGCTATAGCATTACCTTGATCCTGCCGACCACGTCAGCTACGTGCCTCACAAATAAGCTCACCTAACGGATAGGGATGGGAAGACAACTCTACCGAGGAGTAGGACTCTACCCCTTGTAACCTCGGCAGGGAATGCTGACCCAATTTCCCTAGAACCCTACTTCGACCAGCATACAGACTCTTCGGCTATAATTAGCCCAGACCAGCATCCCTATAGCTCGAATAGGCCATCCACCCCTCCTACTGACTTGAGGGTCGGAGTACTTACCCGGGGATAACTCGTCGGGCCTCTAACTTCTTCCTTGATTACAGGTCTTGAAGCGTGGCCTCGTCCTTGAAGCTCGGCCCCGACTTGCCAGCAAGGACTATATAGTTGCCATGCTCAATTCATGCACTACCTCGAATTGAGCGGCAACAAATTGGCGCTGTCTGTCAGAACAACAGTAGAGTTGACACTGTATTAGGCAGTACCTGGTCGCTCTGTGTTGGAGCCTTTTTGCTTCTACTCGATCCTCCGAGTGAGTGCCCTCTCGAAGATAATCGATTATGGGGTCCATCCAAGATGGGCCATGCTGCACTGGAAGGCTGAGGACAACTGCTAGTGCGATGCTCAGTTGAGCCAGCGTGTCTATCCGGACGGCTGATTCAAGGTCGGTTTGCGGCGAGCTAGCCAGCTTTAAAAGGGCATCAGCTTGGGCGTTCTCGGCTCGAGGGATCTGCCGAATATCGAAATGCTCGAGCTGCTGAATGAGCTCTTGCACCTTTTGTAGGTAGCTCGCCATAAAGGGAGTCCGAGCCTCAAACTGGCCGTGGATTTGGTTGACTACGAGCTGTGAGTCGCTGAAGGCCTCGATTCGTTGGGCTCCAAGGTCCAAAGCAAGGCGGAGCCCAACAATCAAAGCCCCATATTCGGCCTCATTGTTGGATGCTTTGAACTCAAACCTGAGGGCGTGTTCCAACACTACGTCACTCAAGCCGAGGAGGATAAGGCCGGCACCCCTGCCCTACTGGTTTGACGAGCCGTCTACATGGAGAGTCCATACTAGGGGCAGTGGGGTTGGCTCCTCGGTGGTAAATGTACATTTTGCGATGAAATCTGCCAAGGTTTGGGCTTTGATCGCTGGGCGGGGTGCGTATTCGATGTTGAATTCACTTAGCTCCACACTTCACTTGACTAGGCGACCTAATACTTCCGGTCTTTGTAGCACCTGCTTAAGGGGCTGGCTAGTGAGTACTCAAACGTTGTGGGCCTAGAAGTAGGGTTTGAGTTTTCTGGCCGTGGTGACAAGGGACGGAGCCAACTTTTCAAGATTGGAGTATCGGGTCTCTGCGCTGCTGAGGACCTTACTGGTGTAGTAGATCGACCTTTGTACCCGGTCCTCTTCTTTGACCAATACTGAGCTGATGACCTCATCTCCGACTGAGAGGTAGAACAATAGCTCGTCCCTTGGGCTTGGCTTAGTCAGGAGGGGCGGCGAGCTCAGGTACTGATTTAGTTCCTAAAAAAACTACTCACACTCTTCTGTCTAGTGGAAGTCCTTTGGCCATTTGAGGGCTTTGAAAAAGGGGAGGCACCGGTCCGCAGACTTGGACATAAACCTTCCAAGGGCGGCTATTCTCCCGGTGAGTCGTTGCACCTCTTTGTGGGTCCAAGGGGATGGCATGTCAAGGATGGCTTTTATCTTCTCTGGATTTGCTTCGATTCCTCTCTGTGTTACCATAAACCACAGAAACTTGCCGGAGCCAACCCCGAAGGTGCACTTGGTTGGGTTTAAACTCATCTCATACTTTCTGAGTGTATCAAAGACTTTGCAGAGGTCAGCCAGGTGATGTTCAGCCTTTTTGCTCTTCATGAGCATGTCCTCGACATATGCCTCCACATTCCTACCGAGTTGTTCTTTGAATACCTCATTCMCCAGCCGCTGATAGGTGGCATCCACGTTTTTTAGTTCAAAGGGCATTACCTTGTAGTAATATAGGCCATAGTCAGTGATAAAGGTCGTTTGCTCCTGGTCGTCCTGGTCCATCTGGATCTGGTTATAGCCTGGGAAGGTGTCCATGAAGCTTAGGAGCTCATGTCTGGCTATTGCGTCGACGAGCTGGTCGATTCTCGGCAGAGGAAAGTTGTCTTTGGGACAGGGCTTATTCAGGTCGGTGAAGTCAATGCAGATTCTCCACTTTTCATTGGCCTTCTTCACCATCACTATGTTGGCCAGCCAATCAGGGTATTTAACTTCCCTAATGAAGCTGAGGTCAAGTAGCTTCTGTACTTCATCAGCGATTACTTGCTACCGTTCTGTGGCAAAGTTTCTCTTCTTCTGCTTCACAGGTTGGTAACGGGGGTCGACGTTCAGCCGATGTGTGATAACTTTGGGATCGATCCCAGGCATGCCCTCTGCCGACCAAGCAAATACGTCGGCATTATTCCTCGGTAGTCGCACAAGTTCCTCTTAGAGGTGGTCGCCTAGCAGGGAGCCGACCTGGACCCTCTTTTCGGGTCGATAAACCTCGCTAGGTAACTTGGAGTGCTTCTTTGTTGAACCTCGCTAGGTAATCTCTAAGGGACTCCACCTTCCTTTGTCAAACCTGCATAAGGTTGGCCAAAGTTTTCCAATGCTTCTGACTAGCGGTGAACTGTGCCAGAAACTGGGTCTCTAGCTGGGCCCACGATGTTATAGACCTCAGCGGTAGAGAGAGTACCATGCCAAGGTTGGTCCCTACAACGTGGTTACAAGGGCTTTGCACATTAGTCCCTCCGATGCACCATGTAGCATCATCTGGGCTTTGAGCGCCACGACATGGTTGAAAGGATCGGAGTTCCCATCGTACTTGTTGAATTGGGGGGCTCGCCATCCAACAGGGGGTATCTCGTCGATGATGTCCTGGAAGAAGGGTGGCTCCTTGGTGATATGCGCGGTGGCCTACACAGGTTGGTCTACGGCGAGAATTGCGCTCTTATGGGTCAAAGTGCACTCTAACTCTTCCAGACGCTGCTGGAGCTCTTTAATCTCGGCATCTCTATTGTCTGGGGCTACAGTGTGCATGGCCTCCCTCTTGGGTCGTGTGGGGTGATCCTTGACCGAACTTGACGCGGCGACAGAGACCACAAACGGCGGCGTCCTTTTGCCGAGCCTTTCTTTGGCAGAAATGCACACTGAGTGGTGCGTCTCGCTATGGTGGTCCTGTCCACGGGAACGGACAATGGAAGCGGGCCTTCGGGTCGTGTCCTACCTCATACGCTCAGACCGCTTTCCCCTTACATCTGATCAGCACGCTTAGGGGTCCTTGGTTCGAGGATCGTCCTTCGTGCGTGTTAGGGCGTGAAGAGGGACAGCCCGGTTGGTTGGCGCAGCAGACCCCAGTGTTTGTATGAACTCGAAGATCTTATCAACCTTCTCTTGCATGGCTCGGAATTGCGCTGGATCTACTATAGCCGAAGGTTGTGGGACTTCTTGGTGCAAGGAGTCACGGTGTCGGTTTTTCCGAGACAGGGAACGACCAACTGATCGTTTAGACTAGTTTTTAGGCATCTTGATCGCTTTCTTGATTGCGCGATGAAGAATGAAAGATTTTCGAGAAAGGCTTTTTGTGCGTTTCTTACAGACGGTGCCAATCTGATGCTGTTCAATCCGAGGTAGTGCATGGACCAAGGATGGCAACTAGATAGTCCTTGCTGGCAGGTCGAGGTCGAGCTTCAAGGAAGAGGCCGCGCTTCAAGACCTGTAATCAAGGAAGAAGTCAGAGGCCCAAGGAGTTATCCCCGGATAAGTACTCCGACGCTCAAGTCAATAGGAGGGGGTGGATGGCTAGGCCGAGCTACAAGGATGTTGGTCCGGGTAATTGGTAGAATGGGTGCTAGAAGTTGGTAGTCCTTTACCTTGAGCATGGAGTACCTTTTTATAGCCGGAGGGTCCGTATCCTGGTCGGAGTAGGGTTCTAGGGAAATCGAGATAGTGTTCTCTGCCGAGGTTACAGGGGGTAGAGTCCTACTCCTCGGCGGAGTTGTCTTCCCATCCCTATCCGCTAGGCGAGCTTATCCATGAGGCATGTAGCTGACGTGGTCGGTGGGATCATGGTAATGTCGTAGCTCGGCCGGACATCACAGATGTGGCTAAGCTGTGATAGATGGCCGTGGGCCTCCAGGCCAGATCTGTTGAACTATATGACCGAACAATCTGTTGAGTAGTGAGTGCCAAACACTTTCTTGCAAGCAATACTGAGGATAGGGGTCCCCCCCGTCTTCCCTTTTATAACCATCAAGGTCACAGACCGGGGAGAAATCAATGGTACAGATGAAGCACCTCTGACATCGCCTTGAAAGGCCAACTGACGCGGCCAATAACGTACGACAGGAAGCCTCGAAAATTGAAGCGACACCCTCGGCAGGCAGCGGTTGCGCCCATTAATTGCGTTGGTTCGATTATAGTACCGGTCCAACCTTCGACGCGGATCCTCGACTAGGCCACTCAAATCCTCGGCTAGGCCGTTTTAAGGCCACAAGGCCGTGCAGTAGCCTGGCCGAGCACTTCCCCTCCTTGATAGCAGAACTAGGGGAGTGGTTCGGGAACCAAAATTTTGGTTCTCGTTTAAGTTCTACAGCCAACAATCGGAGGACTCCTCGGCAATGACTGACACGGCGCAAGCGATACCCATGCCCGGAAGTTCCTCAGTCAGGCAACAAACCTAAGGGACCTTGTCCCTCGACTTCGGAACTAGGGGAGTGATGTTGGGGACATGGCTGAGCTGGCCCGAAGGCCCACGACCATCTATCATAGCTCGACCACGTTGGCGATGTCCGGCCGAGCTACGGCATTACCATGATCCCGCCGACCACGTCAGCTCTCATGGATAAGCTAGCCTGGCGGATAGGGATGGGAAGACAACTTTGCCAAGGAGTAGGACTCTGCCCCCTGTAACCTCGGCGGGGAACGCTGTCCCGATTTCCCTGGAACCCTACTCCGACTAAGATACGGACCCTCCGGCTATAAAAAGGTAATCCATGCTCAAGGTAAATGACTCCCAACTTCTAGCACCCATTCTACTAAATAGCCCGGACCAGCATCCCTGTAGCTCGGCCCGGCCATCCAGCCCCTCCTACTGACTTGAGCGTCAGAGTACTTACCCGAGGATAACTCCTCAGGCCTTTGACTTCTTCCTTGATTACAAGTCTTGAAGCGCAGCCTCGTCCTTGAAGCTCGGCCCCGACTTGCCAGTAAGGACTATCTGGTTACCATCATCGGTTCATGCAATACCTCAGGTTGAGCAGCATCACCTCTATTTCGTTATTCCATCATGGGGGTTAGAATTTCAAGAATAAGAGGAGAAAATCATCTTTGCGTGCCATGGAGAAAGAATCCCAATTCGAATTAGATCAAGAGAAGGCCCGGAAGACACTGAAAAAACTCGACGATCAACTTCAAACCCTCTCTTATAAAGAAATAACTCCTCCAAAGAAAGGAGTCTCTTCTATTTCGTTCCGGTTCTTTCTACCTATTCTTTTGGTTTTCTTTACATTTTGCAAACAGCACAGTTCTGCTTTTGTGAGACCCTATTCTTGTTTTTAGAGGATTGCCATGCTGCAACTTACGTGTTCCATAGTAATGGTTCTTCACCGGCAACTGTTATTGATCGGCTTAATCCGTTCTTTCACCGATTAGTTATTTCAGTACCAATAAGGTAAAATGGATATATATTTGGAAAAAAATATATATGAATTGGTTAAACGTTTTCCGTCATGAGCCAGTGACGGAAGGAAAGTTTCTGTAGAATTTTTTAAAAGTTCAGGGGTGGTTTTAAAAAGTAAAACTACAGAGGATGTTTTTATGATCGTTAGAAACTATATGTCGAATAGTAAAAGAGAGGGAGTAGAAGCTACTCATTGCATCTCCAAGAAAGCAATCGAAACAGATATAAAGCCATGGTGCATGTGCTCCCAGCCCAAGATATCCTCAAATGTTAACGTCATTTGATCATACATCTCCGCTATCCCCCCTCATTCAACATTTCTCTCTTCACTGTCTCCGTTGCCGTCGACGATGACGATGCCATCATACGTGTCGTCGTCGTCTTTGCGAGTCCTGTACGTCTGGATCGGCCAACACCTACTCGCACCGGCAGGGAATTGATCCTCCTATTATATATATTCCTCGTTGATGGATATCTCTTGGAGATTGCAGGAAGCAACGAATGGCGATTCAAACGTTCCGAATACAGCACCGTACTGAAGTTGAAAAGAGGACTTTATAGAGTGGAGCAACAGAGCAGAACACAGAGTTCATGCAAATTGCAATGCTATATACGGATATGCCTGCATCGGGTTGATGTTCTTGTTAGATGATGAAGGGAAATTTGGCCCGACCTCGCGATCGCCCGACACGTGGCAAAGGCAAGCAGCT